TCTTTCTCCTCTCTTCCCCTCTATCTCACTCCCCCCCCTCTCTCTCTCACCTCATCTTTCTCTGACTCTCTCCTCTCTCTCCCTCACCACCCCCTTCTCTCCTCCTCTCCCGCCCCCTTTCTATATATATCACAGAATGAATGAAACAACACATGTAAGTAGAAAGTTGTTGCTGGCGAAGCGAAAAAAAAAATCTCTAAATGTAAAATAAAAACGAGCGAAAGGCTATGGTGCTCTTTATGCATCATTCACTACTTCATTCTATCCACTCATGGTCTATATGATTCATCACAAAAGCCGGGGAATTATTAAATTATTTATCAAATTCCCGAGTGGCATTGATGTAAATGAACCAGTGAGAAGAGAGAAAGAGAGGAGAGAGGAGAGGGAGGGAAAGGAAGGAGAGGAAGGAGAAGAGAAGGAAAGAAGACATCGAAAAAAAGTCTAAGAGGGGAGGAGGAGCGAGGGAGAGAGGGGGAGGAGAGACAGAGGAGAAGAAAGAGAGGCAGGAGAGGTACGGAGAGAGACACAACACACACACCACATATATAATAGAGATTGGATTTGTAATATAATATAGGATGATATTATAATATAAGTAAGCTATATTATAGTCATATATATATATATATTAATATTATACAAAAAAATGTAGAATATAAGTATTATATATATATATATAATTAGTAAATATATATATAGTATTATTATATATATATTATATATATATATGTTATACAGATAATGTTAGTGTAGTTATGTATATTATACATAACATATACCTATATTAATATAATATATATATATACTATAAATATATATATATATATATATACTATATATGTATGTATGTATGAGATATATTATAACAACCTATATAATTATATAATAATATAACTATATATTATATTAAAATATAAGTTATGTGTGGAGATGTGTGTATGCAACCTGGAGTGGGTAGTTGTGATGATGGTGTATGGTGTGGGTGTGTTGTGTGAGAGTAAGGAGGTTATTAAGTATAGGATTGTGTTTGGTAGTTAAGTATAATTTTGTTGTTTTCAAGATTTGTGTTGATTTCGCGATCGGTGTGCGGTGGTGGGTGTTGGTGATTATTTCTATTATAGTGATATATATATCAATTTAGGATACTAATCATTCTTATACCTATCAAACATCCTAGGAACACTAAAAATAATTTATATTCGTACATATATGTATATATGGTATATATACCAAATATATTGTATTCACATAATGATTAATGATCAAATAACAAATAAATTATATATATATATATATTTATATTATATATGTATGGTGCGTAGATGATGTAGTGATAATGATGTTGTATTGGTGTATATCTATATGAGTGGTAAATGATAGGTAGTTGCTGACACTTAGATATGTAATTATATCAAGCACAAAATGGAACGTATAATTATCACTCTGTATAGTAATTATTATTGCTAATCAGTTGTTTTGGTGTTTGTCTATTGCTGTACTATCAGAACCCCACTGTCACGTTGAACATTTAATGAAATTAAATTCGGTACGATTATTTTATATATTGAGGTATTTTACGTTATGACTGAATGATTTTGATCCATTCATGGGGTTAGGCACTATATGGTCGGTGGTTTAAGTGTTTCCGATAATGATTTTGACCATTCAGGTTAGGGCACGTGTTATGTTTCCTATGACGAATTCGTTATATGGAAAGATACATGATGGTTACTTAAAAAGCTTACCTTTAGATGTTTAGATAAATAGATAGGGAGATGGATAGATAGATAGATGGGAGAGGCGGCGAAAAAAGAGATGAATGTTGCTGAGAGAACGAGGGTAGAGAGGGTGAGTTGTGGATATGAGGTCAGTGCGTTGAATGATAGAGATGAGAAACGAGGTGACGTAGTGTAGTGTATGTGGATAAAGAGCATAGTATAATAGTAGTAGAACGGAATATATAATAGATATAAGTATATGATATATAGTAAGGTATGATAATATATGATATATTAATACATGTACCACAGACGCACCACACCCACACACACCGGAAATAAAGACCAACCATCCGAACCACACCTCGCCAGTTAAACAGGAGCCCCGGATCCGGTCAACGTGCACTAATTTCTTGTTGTAATCGATTTGGAGGGACAATCGTATGAGGGACCTCAAGCGAGAAGGCCCGCACAGGAGATTGACTGGGTATTTTGTTAACCGTAATCCCGGGTTTAAAATAACTTTTCGTCTATATGCAGTTTCCCGAATCCTGTGGATTGTCGCGATTTAAAGAGCAGTAAAGCCTGGTGAATTTACATTATGTATAGTGATAGTTGTTTATTGTTTATTAGCAATGATGAATTTTGACCTAGCTCGTGAAGAGAGGTTTAGACCGTTGTCTGATGTTTTATTATTTGGAATTTCCGTATAAATTCTTACTATTAAAAGGTGTAACATTCAATTATAGATCGATTTTATATGGAAAGTATTATTAAATACGATTGAGCGATCAAGGAGTGCAGTCAGTTATACAAGATCGAAGGTAGAAGGATGAAAAGATGAAGTGGATTATAGAATAAGAGGAGTAAGAAAAAGAGAGAGAAAGTAAGAGAGAGAGATATGAGAGTATGAGATAGATGAAGAGATACAGAGTGAGAATAGGATAGAGATATATAGTATATATATATATAGAGAGATATGTAATAGAGAGATATGAGAGAGAGAGACCGCAGAGGAAAAATTAGAAGGAGAAGTAAAAGGGAAGCAGTGTAAGCAGGGAAATGTATTATAAAAAACAGTAAGGATATGCAGAGATATAGATTAGATATTTCGAGAGGTAGTAGAAGAGGAAAATGCAATTGGTGAAGTAGATGATATAAGGAGAACCAAAGAAGATACGAGCATGAGCGACTTTAGACGCAGAAAAGAAAAACAGATGACATGATATACTGGAACAGGGGAGACAAAAAAGTGCATAACACAGATACGCAATTGAGTATATTCTGATTCAGACTGGAGATGGGATAATGAAACAGAACGAAGAAATAGATATAGGCAAGAGAGAAGAGACGAGACAGGAGATGATGAGCATTAGCCCTGGTATTATAAGCTTGAAAAATGGTAGCGAGAGATTTGATTTAAGAAAAACAGGATGAAGAAAGTATGAAGAGCGGTGAAACCTTTTAGAAGTTACGTGGAATCTTGAATAAGTATTTACTGACGAGACTGTGTTATGAGTATAAGGATGTATTGACGTATTCTTTTATGATCACTGATAGTTTGTTTTATCTCATTGTCGTCATTATTATCGATCAAAGAATCAACCATCACCACCGGACGCATTGAAGTGCAATCACCATCATGACATTTTTCCACCACCACCAAGGTTGAATTTTTAAGCAATGGCTTTACTTATTCTATCATTGGATTTTTTGTTAGCAGATTAAGTTTATATGACGAGAAGTGAAGTTAGTACGTCTATATCATTATAACAGCGTCCCAGCAAGTTATAATCTTGATTTTTATATGATAATCCACATCACCACCACAGGTACGGGCAACCTGCCGTTGACCAGTCACCAACACAAACAGACATCACCGACCACGTCTAGAGCAACCAGATCAGATGTATTAACTAATATCAACAAGCAACAAGATACTCAGAACAACCATCACTATCGAAAGACAGCAACCATATACCACTCTTCAACCAGCAACTATCACATAGTCAGCCATTCAACCACCAATAAATCACCAACTTTCCTACCCCCGATTCCCTATCTCGTCGCTTGACCATTATACCAAACCATTACCGAAACGAATTCGTAAATACCATGACTGCCAATTCTACACAAATGCAACCAAGCGCCTTTGCGCGCACCACCACTCTACCTCTCTATCACCCGTTCCGCATTAACTTAGGCGCAACCAACCTTTTATTCCAGTGAGGAACCATCTCACTTACCTTACCTATTTCTATTCCATTCTCCCACTCTACTCTTTTGATTTAGTGTCACTTTTACCTTCTTTTACCCAATTGTCACTCACCATCAGGTTCCACTTCTGCATGCTCTACCAACAGCCGAAGTACTACCATTCATCTCCACCATCAATCAACAGTAACTCAGCCTACATCTCCAACTACAGAGATGAACCTAATCAATACACATCCTAACAAGACCACCTCTCACGCGACTTAACCAATACATCCTAACCGCACGCAACCCTACTATCAACCACCACCAATCTCATCATCCCACCAATTCGCTTTCCCCAGGCACAAAATCTCAATCACGCATTAAACTCACATCAACACACTATCTACCTACACCACCACGACAATATCTACACATACACCACAGCACGACACACGTACAGCGTCGCCGCAATTCTCGCATGCCACAAATCTACACCATCCACATCCACATCACCCACCAACCCACCCCCCAACCATCCACACACACCTCCAACATACACATCTAATCTCACCACACCACCAACATCTCACCAGCGGCACCACAACTCCAACCACAACCATCTCACGCATCCAGCCATCATCTATATCATCACCACCACCACCATCTGCCACCCCTACCATCATTTATTCACCATCTCTAATCACCTAACTCACATCTTCCACCACCATCATTCTATCATCACTCAGACCTACCACCTATCTTACCACCATACTTCCATCATATTCACCTATCTCCATCATATATCACTCATTCTCCATCAACCAACACATCTCTCCTACACCATCCAATCTATCCACCACCTAATTCAATATAATATCACCACCTCCACCATCACCACCGACCATTCTATCACCATTATTCCAGCCAACCTCATCACCTAATATTCTTACTCACACACAATCGCCAATAGTGCACCTCACTCCAGTGAACCAATACACTATACCACTACCACCACCATCTAATCACCTTTCTTCACACAACCTAACCATCATTTCATATTCAACTACCTTATATGAATAAATGCTTCACCACATCGCGCGCTTCAAACCACACAACACACGGGCTAGCACTCCCTTCTTAGAGCCGCACCACAAACCAACGAATACCACCACCAATGACCCTCTCGGGAACCACACCACCAGTCAACCTACTCCACCCACTCAACACACCCTTCGGTATACCACACAGACACAGAAATGCACACTCACATCCTCACAAGCCACAACCGAAGTAGCCAACAAATCTCAAAACGAAACATCACACCCTCATCCTGCACACCACACGTATACAACCATCAGCACAAGATCAGTATAGCCAGATGCACACAGCGCGATCAGTGTCAACACACAAGCCATATAAATATCCGGAGACAGCGACAAACACCATAAGATACAAGCAAATGCCACCACCAGGACCTCAGGAACGAAGACAAGGAAGACACCACCAAAATTAAATCTTACACAAAGAAACCATAACATAACTTACAAAGGGCAAGCAATACGAACAAAATCCAACGCAAACTCGATTAACCACAATCGCAAACCGGCACAATAAGTGCACCACATGAGCCTTATTACTCACTCTACACGGATACAACGCACCAACAAACCAGGCCGACATGTACCACACACATTCACCAGGAAAAAGGAAACTCACTCAGAAGACATCACATCGACCAACCAACAGCTATACGCAACCGACAATTTAACTTATACCACCAAAAGACTGCGCACACAAGAAAACCAAAAACAAAGAAAAGAGAAGACACAATTAACCACAACCAAAAAGACAATAAACCACAAAACATTGGACAACCACTCCACAACCCCATATCACCGAATAACGAAAACGACGCCGAGAAAAACCACCATCACCCACTGCACGCTTTACAAGCCAACTCACCGACCAAAGCCAGAAACAAAAACCATCACCACCACTGGCCCTACAACCCAACAGAATCAGCCACCCACAAATAAAGCAACCAATTTCCAACATAGAAACCACTCACCTATAACACAACGATAACAGAAACAACCAACAAGAACACAACCACAATTAAAATGCAACACGTGGCTACAGAACTACACCTACACGGCATATACGACGAACAAGCACATCACCACCACCACCTCCGAAGCTCACTAAATAGCCCGTCGAAAACCAACCAAATCGTTACAAAGCAACAACCAACCGAACAAGATGAACCACTCACTTAAAGAACAACGCGAACGGAATCACACTTCAAACGACAAAGCAACACTCACCCTCGTTCCAAATAGCAGAGAAACTCAAAGAAACTCTAGCGAAACACTACTTAACCCTCACCACCACCACCTCACTAGCACAGAGGCCAACATCAGCCCTTACTACAGCCAAACCGCGCAGGATCAACTCCCCTATCAAATCGAAACACAGTATCACGCACTGCACATACTAAGAACGTCACACACACGAGACAATATATACCTTGACCACAACCGACAACAGACACGAAAACCTACCTCTCACCAACCACAGCAGCGCGCCAAAATTCACACTCACTACCAGCCTACACGAAACTCACTCAAAAAAGAAACCAGACGACAATCACCTACCTTGACCAGGACATCAAGAAACCTACACTCTACAACCAAACACGATGACTACACTACCACTATACCAAAACGAACAGATCACCAACTCCTCCTAAAGAACAAGTGTAAGACCAATACCTGAGCAACACACAATCAAGTCTACCTCTAACAGAGCACAGACAAATACCTCTAAAATACACATACGCGCGCGAAACCATACCCTAACAAACATGAGAAAATATTAAAATTGACACAGTGAAGAAATGCCCCATACCATGAAACACGAGAATCATTCACCCCATACTCACTTCACAACCAAGAATTAATTCAACACGCACAACATTTTAACCAAATGCGAATATCAGCACGAAGATCCACTTTAATACAAAGTGCACAACCAACACCGAATCGTGCAACCCAATTTACCACATCATCAGACCATACCCACTAACCATCTCAACGAACCAGAGACACATTCATAACACACTACACTTTATAAAGCACATCCAGAGTACAACCAACCACCATCTCTACCTACCACTGACACAAACGATCTACACATCAACCACTAAGTCTAATACCACACGAAAATCAGAGTCAAATACTCTCAACAAGAATTTACGAACGCAAAATACTTCTAATCGACCGCAAGAATACCCAACATGCAAGTACACCAACAATACTATTACCTAGAGAACCCATCGAAGATCACATCACCCACCATCAGAAGTACAGAATGCGAACCACATCAACCACCCATCTCAACACGATCACTCAAGCGCAAACCACACTACTTAAAGAAACAAAGCGCGAATCACCACCATACTTAATTAAAGCCACCTATATGAGCTCTACCACCAAATCACTACACATACAGACAACACCTAGAGAACCATCCATCTAACTCTCCAACCACACGATTCATCACCAACATACATTTATATCAGACCAACACATTGCATACTACCAACACTACCACATCATCATCAACACACACGAACGCACAAATACCTTAAAGAACATTTAGAAATTACTTAAGGGATTAACAGGAACGCAACATCAACACTTATAACACCAAGCCACCACAGAGATCCACACATTTCTACAATCATAGATGCCGTGCGACAACAAGCAAATACGAAAACCACTCACTCTCACAAAGACCCAACACGACAGACACCACTGGCTACTTTACCTTCACACACAACCAGAATCAAAATACTACACACTCGCACAAGCAGCTCAAGACCACATCCTCACTGCCCTATACACCACAATCGAACCACCACCACCCATCACAAATCTCTTAAATTCAAGTCAGCGCACAAACACCACCAGAGATCACCACCAATACATCCTAAAACCGACTCAAAGAGTCACCACGTACAAAACGCACAATCACACACGCGACCATCGGACCAACCATACATGATTTTATAGAACGAGTTAAAGCCATGTGACGGAGCTGAGCTGACCTAGTCACCTGACCTTGACCGACACCCTCGCTTATGAAACACATGACCGTTCCATAGGGCGTCAGGGAGGCGACGGAGGGCTACCTGGAAAACCTTTTTTTTTTTCCTTGGCCCAGAAGGCGCTCGAGAGCGAGAGAGGGAGCGGGCCGCAGCAGGAGGGGGCGCCTCGAACAGCGGCGGGCGGGAGCGGAGGCGGAAAGGGGCGGCGGGCGCGAGGAGGATTCGGGTCGACGCTGAAGGAGAGCAGGAGGAGGAGGCTCTCGGGCTGCAGGGTCTCGGCGCTTGGGCCAGGAGGAGAGTGCCAAGCGATGCCAGGTGGGACGGCGGAGCGCGAGGGGGCGAGGTGCGAGGGGGAGGTACGCAGGTCTAAGTTATCACGGGAACACAAGGGGGCGTGGTCCACCCATGCCGAGAACGCCCACGCCCTCGCACTCACTCCCGGCGGCCTTGCTCGATTCACCCCCCGCCCTCCCCGCACCCCCCGTCAGCCCGCTCGTCCCACCTAACCCCTCCCGGCCCAGCCCGCCCCCTCCCGCTCCCCCGCCGTCTCTCCCGTGGCTGTTATACGTCGCTTCGCTCTCGCTTCCTCCTCTCTCTCTCTCTCTTTCTCTTTCCTTTCTCTTTCTCTGTTCCAGTATCTCTTATTCTCTTTTCTCTCCTTTTTCTCTGCTTCTTTTCTATCAGTTTCTTCTCTCCTGCTCTATATTTCTCTCTTCTCTCTCTTTTCCTCTTCTTCTCCTTTTCTCTGTTTCAGTATCTCTTATTCTCTTTTCTCTTTCTTATTCTTCTGCCTTATTTTTCTATCAGGTTTTTCTTCTCTCCTCTCTACTTCTCTCTTTCTTACTTTTCATTTCTCTCTCTTCTCTTCTTCTTCTTTTTCATTTATCTCTTCTCTCTTTTTCTCTATAATCTTTCTTCTATTTTTCTCTCTTTCTCTCTTCTTTCCTTTCTATTTTCTCATGTCTCTTCTCTCCTTGTTGCTATTTTTCGTATTTTTCTCTCATCTCTCTATTCACATATCTCTCTTGCCAGATTATCTAAGCTCGCTTCCTTCCTTGTCTTTCTAGATTCATGCTTTTTTTATTTTTTCGCTTTTACCATGCCCTTGTTTCGTGAGTTATAGTTTTTTGTGATTGTGAATTATCCAATTTATCGTGTCTGTTCTTGTATCTATACGATTATTATTGTGTTAATCATTTCAATCATTTGTTAATATTCATTTATTATCATTGTTGATATCTATTTATAGTTATTTTGCGTGACTCCGACAATGTCAATCTCTCCTTCTGCATCTCAATTACTCTTCACTTTTCTCTCTCTCTGTAATTGGAGTATTATCTTAATCCATTACTACTATATTATTGTCTATATGTAATTAATTATTATATAGATCTATTATTATTAATTAATTATTATTATTATATCATATTTCTATAATTATTTATAATACTCTATTATTATATATCATGTTTTATTGTTTGTGTTTAGTTATTAGTTTGTTGTGATTTTTAGTTGTTGTGTTGTTGTTGTTGCTTGCATGCTGCTGATCATGTTGACTGTTGATTATGTTTTTAATATATTAGTTGATTATGTGTGTATTTAATATAATTGAATTAATATAATAATGAATTAATTATTTAATATTATATTTATCATTATTTTATAATATTATATCATATAATTAATATTTTCGATTCGGTGTAATCTATTTGTATTATTAATTAATTATTAATGATTATTTAATTTCATAGATTATTTAATTACATTTATGTATTGATTACTAAATTATTATTATTATTACAATTATTAATAGTGTATAATGTAATATTATTTAATTATATTATTATTATCATTTAATTTAATTATTTAATTATTATATTAATTTATATTAATTTTATATTATATTTATATTATTAGTATAGTTATCATCATATCGAAATCATTCTAATTATATCTTATATAATCTATTATTAATTCAATTCATAATTATATTATTTTATATAAGTGTTAAGTATATAAGTGTATATCATAGGTAGTAGCTAGTTAAATATTGGATTGTATATGTTGTGTAGCTAATTATCATTATTATTTATGATCTAAATATTATATTAATTATTATCATTATTCATTTGTTATTGCTTGTCGATGTTCGTGTTATTTATTACGTTATTACTATGACTATTATCTCTCAAATTAGTCATTATTTTTTTCCTTTCAATTATTATATAATCATATTATTATACCTTACTACTGATTATCTTAATCTATCCGTGTATATATCATTTCTATACTCATATAATCGTATCATTTACTATCTATTAGATAAATAGCATATGATGGATTCTACATAATATCTTACTCAGATATTTCTCTTCATAAAGGTATTCTTATCTATCGCATTAGATACCAACAGATTTCTCTACCTCGTAATCATTAGTCTTATCCTAATCTATCCTTATTCATTACGTACCATTACTTCCAGTATAATATTGAGCATATTATATTTTAACATCAATTTTCTTATGAATTATTACGACCAAATAACTTATCCTAAGTAAATTTCCCTTATTTATCGCCCATACGCATTATCAGTTCACCTATCTATCTATTACTCAGAACAAATTACAATAAACTGATAATGCCTACATATCACTACCACTTAATCGCGCACCACACACAGCACCCACACACACTATAATCACTATCCGTCCAACCCCTATACCCATCCTACCCTAATAAATCCCAGAACACCCCCACCCCGACCCCCACCAAAAACAAAAAAAACCCAACACACTATCTCCAACACACATACGCACACACACACACACATACCACCAGCATCATCACACACACACAAGTTATATAGTGAAAGGGCCATAAATTGAGTGATTCGTTAATAGAGTATGATTATATCAATAAGATATAATTGGATAATGACAATGGATTATTTACAAAGAATGCGCCTTATTTATTACAAAGTTCCAAATAATACATGTTAGTACGGCATAATGGAGATTATTATCTGACTTTGTATTTTTATTATTTAGTCGTGTAAAGCGTATATCTCGACCTTAACAACGAGTCCTGAGTAGTATAT